CGAAGCGAGTAGAAACGATCATCTTTTCTTTTCCGTAAAAATCCTCATTTAATCATTCTTGAGCTGCTAGCGGATCCTAACAAGTCAACATTAATGATTTTAGTATTTGTTTTTAGATGCTATCTTTGCATTTAGTTGATCATATTCGAATCCACAGACATATCGTAGAAATATTAAACCGAAAAAAGTTTTGTTAAAATGTGGAAAACGAAAGCAGAATGCAGATCTTGTGTGCCAGCAATATGGAAATAAATATTCAAAAGTTAAAGATTATTCAAGCACATTTAAAACGAGAAAAAATTGAGTTTGTATGTGCTGCGGGCTTACTGTAGATTTCGATTCAGCCGTTCTCTATCAACAATACATGAAACAGTGGATGAATATTTCGGGAAATTTGCCTAGCAAACAAATTTTTAATTTGTGAAATAAGGGGTCTAGGTGGAAGCATTCAATTTGTGAGATATTCATTTATTGTTTATGCGATTCGTGCGGGTAATCGCTCGATTCAGTCAACGACTACCTGACTATCTGGTGATAAATAAACGTCGGTTATTCGAGGGGTTGGTAATGATTTTGAATTTGACGGTACAGACAGATCTATAATACAACAAACAGCTAATCTTTATCAGGAACAGCCCGCATATTTCATTTCTAGAGACTTTCCGAGCAAGATTTTTGAAAATTTCCTCGAGTTTTCGTATGACTTTCATTGTTTTACTTAACTTTAAGAATATGGATGACGATTGGAGTTTGCAACGAAAACTCATAAAAGAAACGAAAGTGAGAGCTAATCTTCCATAGTTTTGTGATTTTTTTATTCCGTTCGCCTTAAGTGTTCTCGTATCATCTATCAGCGAAATGCTGAGGGATTATGTTTGATGATCAAAGGAGAGAAGAATAACATTGAGAACATAGCTAACAGGAAACAATCTTATAATCTGCGATTGATTCGATAAAATCGACTAAGTAGTTCAACTTTTTGGTCGGTAATTCAGATCAAAGACGATCCAATGAACAAAATGAAACTTTTGAAATAGTTTTTGGATTATATGATATGAAACTGATGGTACTGAAGGGATGTTTAATTTGCTGTCTGCACGGTCGTCAATGTGCTGCGGCGAAGGCGATTGCCAGTGAACGACGTCGACGTCCTCCGGTCAGAAGGCGTCATCGACCCGAAACAGAATCTGATGAACGAAAAGAATTCGCTCAAGTGATGGTTAGGCACATTTCNACGGAGGAATAGAGTGCTTTGAATAGTTGATCGAATGAAAATCCGAGAATTTTCGAATTTATTCGTAATCCTATCATTTCATTTTTTTTCAGAAGTATGTGGAAGAATCGCCCAGAAATTCATCTATGAATCGAACAATAACATCGGCAGATTTAGGTAATTATCTATTAATTTATGATAGCAGTTTCATTCATTATCAAAAAGAAACATACTAACTTAAGTTGTGATTTGCTCAACTGAATATCGAATGTTTTTAGTAAAAAAGCAAACAACCGGGAAAAATGCAGAGCGAAAAATCCGGGAAACAGATGAAGACGAAATAGAGGATCGATTGCCGACTAGTACTAAAAAACACGTTCGAAAGAGCAAAGTAAGTTTCACGGTTCCAGTTCTGCTGAGACATAGCTGAATCTAATCGTCGTCGCACCTTCAAATCAGCAAGCAACTCATACTTAACAACTGCATCTAATATTTCACGTCCAGCACTTTTATACGTTCGGATTTTACCAGCAACATCAGACCTTTGCTACTACTATCGATTGTTAATTCGTCTGTCCAAACTGAATTCATATTTGTGGTCGACGTTTTCAAGTCCTTGTATCACGATATCAAAGGCCAGCCATTCCGTACATCAGCAAAGCCGCTCTTGAAGGAATATCGTCTCCGTACCAAACTCACCGTGATTTTTCAGGATCTCAGCAGTGTGATCGGTTCACAACTCTACGCCAAACATAAATTACAGCATAGCCACTCGTAGGTTCTTCTTATTGGGATAATTCCAGAGCTATTATGATGACCACAAACTAACTAGCATGAGCACTTCCATCATTTTCTCAGCTTTATCCCTCAAAATTCTCAAAAATCTATTTATCAATTTTTCGATTTACCTCTATCCAGATGACATCTCAGAAACCGAACTGTTGCTGGATTCTTAATGTAACTGGAAAATTTTATCAGAGTCGGGTTAAATGTGAATCAATAATTTCAGATTCACTGAATTGAAGTACAAACCGCTCAATGCTCTAGCGCAATCACGAAGTGATATTTCATCGTCCAGCGAAGAGACTAGCGACCAAGATGACGGAAGTCCTCAATACAGTGAGATGATTCTCGGGTTAGACTCTGTCGAACATGTTCGAATGCCTCATCACTTACCAGTTGATCAATATTCTATATGAAGATGGGAATTATAAGGATCATTAAGATAATGTTCATTAATAAACTATTAATTGCAGTGAAAGTAGTCCGTCGAATCCAAAATCAACCTGTCCTCTGAAACGGTATTATATTGGGGTTGTGAGTCGGAAAACGTCGGAAATGTTCGTATGGCGGAACACCGCGTTTAGGGTGAGTGAGTCAGCTACTTCGATGCGATTTTGTGCATTTGATAATATATTCGGCTAAGATGTGAGGATAAGATGGGATAATTATAGCAACTTTCTGACTTAGAATTCTGAACACATCTACGACCGAAACGTTTCTTGATCGAAGGTGCGTTATGAGTACACTGACAAAAATGGTAACTGACAATGAGAACCGTGCAAGACTCAGTTGAACAAATCACAATTTACGAAGACATGAGGCGCAAAAAGCGCTCTTATTGAAATGGTTCCATTTGAAGACTCAGAATATTTGCTAAACATTCTTCCCAATTTTTAAAAATTCCGACTCCACAGTAAAACAGTAAGAAATGCAACAGTTGAAGAAGGATCTGATCAGATCATAGACCGCAAAGATATACGAATTTTTTCCTCGGCCGCTGATGAGATGATCTGTATGAAAATTATGATCATTTTGAGGTTTATCACGAAATCTCAGAACACGACTCAAGTAACAGTGAATATCCTCTGTACATCGTCTACAAAAACAGTCGTGGAAAGTACTTGTAAGCGATTGTTGCAACCTAATAATCTTATAATATCTTGGACAGTCTGAATTCTTTATTTGAGCATTTGCACCTCATTACGTGTTTATGCCTCTCAGTTATCTTCAATATCACAACTATCACGCCTATGGAAAGTTTTTTGTGTTAGAAATGTATCTTCATAATGATGATATCTTAATTATTAGTTTTCAACTGAATTTCTTAATCGTAATAAAATGAAT